GAAACAGTTTTTGGTTTATTTCATTAGGTAAACTCAAGGAACAACAAAAATGGCATTTAAGCACAAAGTTACATCTAAACCCATGTATTACCCACTTTTATTCTGTTCATAGTTACGCTTTTGTAACATTTATATGAGACTAAATAGTTTAAAATCAATGGTAATTGAAATAAAAAACAAAAGTTATTTTTGAGATTAAAATTAATGGAGAAATTTGTTTGTGGTAAATTTTTACTATAATGCGTTAGTAGGCTTAATCAATAGCTGCATGCCGAATGCAGCATGTCAGACGTTATGTATTGATAAATCTTTATTTTGTTTAATTGAACTTCTAAAAAAACTGTGTTTCGCTTAATCTAATAACGTAAAGTCATGGAAAAGGGCAAAAAATAACAGTAAATAAAAAAATTTTAATTATTTTAACTCTATGAATTGTTATGGTATATATTTATGTTAATATCTGATCTTATGTTGATATGATGATGCTGTTTAATATCGATATATTGATTATTTAGTTTTCTATTTTCTACCCTGAGCGAAGAACTGGTATTCAGCTTGTTGATAGATAAAAATTTTGAACTGGAGTGTTTTTCCGGTTTATGCAGAAGTATCTGTGCAATGTTAAGGTGTGATTCAAAATGGGAATCAATCGAAAATAAGCTGAAAATGCAATTATTACATTAATATCTATAAAAAAATTTAATTGTGGTAAATCGTAAGTTTGTATACGTCTGTTGAAGACAAATATTTATCCCAAAAAAGTGCCTTGAGAGCGAGACCTGTTAGTCTAGCTTGACAAAATAATTTATTTTAATAAAAACACGTTTTTTTTTCAATTACAGCAGTATACAAAAAAAAGAGAGTTCAATTAGTAAAATTCCGGCTAATATGCAGACAGAAACAGCAGAATAGTTTATGATAACAGCATGTTGACAAAGAAATGTTTTATTCATTTACAAGTTCTGCTTTTACTTTCTCGATTTTTTTTCCCTAAATGATTATTTCTTCTTTTTTCAGTGCATCTTTAATAAAATAGCGCTATTTTAAAAAAAATTTCCTGAATTCTTTTTCTTTTTTACTTTGAACCTTTCATATTTTTGTATTCTATGTTTGATTACTATATATGTAATGTATGAAACACTGAAAATTTATTCAGGGATTATACAAAATGATATGAATTAATTATCAGATAAACCATCCCCGCAGTTTTTAACAGTGGACGAAGAAAAGATAAGGTAAAAAACATCCTAAAAGTAACTATATATATGAGTTTCACAGCCGATTCAATTGGCACGTTAAAACACAATTTAAGATAATTAAATATTTATTCGAATAAAATTATAGATATATTTTTGAGAAACATGATTAATTTAAACACAACACATACTATTAAACAATGATTAAGACTCTTATCTCTCCTCAACGTTTTTTCTTAAAACAGAATAGCACTAAGGATCTATTTTTTTTTAAATTTATATGCGAGTCATTAATCTTACCAAATTCGGGTAAGGGGATTTTAAATTTGTAAAGCTACAGATTTTTTCCCCCTCAAAAGTGAATTTTAATTTTTCGTCGGGATGCACAAGGTCAACTGGAGAAATAAATCGTGCAATATTCTTTTCTCTGACGAGTCCCGTTCTTCAGTTCATACTGATAATAGGCGTATTTTAATCTGGAGGGAACGTGGCACTAGAAACAATGCTGCGTTCGTGCACGAAAGTTCAAGATTTGGCGGTGGGGGAGTTATGGTCTATCCTGGCATCTCCATTGATGGGCGCACCGATATCCATATTAATCGAAATGGAGCTCTGACCGGTCGCCGATATAGGGATGAGATTCTGAGACCTATTGTAATCACTTACGCTGCAGCAGTTGGAGATAACTTAATTTCAATGGACGACAATTGCAGGCCACATCGTGCTAACATAGTGAATGATTTCCTTTTGGAGGAAGGAATCATACGAATAGATCGGCCAGCTTGTTCTCCGGGGATGAACCCAATCGAGCCTGTTTGGAGCTTTCTGGGCAGATGAATTGATAGACGCCTACCACCCTTACAAACTGTCCAAGAACTGGAAAGAACTCTTCTGGAGGAGTGAGACAGAATACCACAGTCCTTTATTAATAATCTCATTGACTCGATGCCTCAAAGGTGTGCTACGTTTCTGACCGTCCGGGGAAACCCTACTCCACTATTAAAAACTATTTTCTTTTAAGGAAAAACCTCTTTTTTCTTCCTTTTGTTCCCAAATGCTCAGTAAAACGCATTTTTTCTGTCAAACAAATGTCATTTTTATCTCATATAGCCAACTACGTCTGTCGATAATGTATCAGTCATTCAAACAGTTCTCTAGGTGCAAGATCAACCCACAACCTCAATAACCTTTAATTGTTATGAGCAATGTATTTTTAGTGGAAAATTATCTAGCATTAATGAATGATCTGTTTAAAAAAAATCAAATTTTCGGATTCTTCTTTAGTTAAAACATGTTTTGAGGATGATTAAAACACTTTTGGTGGGCTAAAGATTGTTATTATTATCTATCAGGAGTTTAGTGAATGCAATTCTCAGGGTGGCCACTCAAATCAGATTTCAAATTTCCCTGATTTTTCCAGGTTTTCCAGATAAAAATCTTAAAATTTCCAGGTTTTTGTTTCTTTTTTCTTATAAAGTGTAGGATGTGTACAAGAAAAGTGTCTATATTATAAAATATTTTATTCAAAATGTTATTTTTTTAACATATCATCTTGAAAAAAATAATTTATTTTGACAATTTTCAAGATTTTTTATTTATTTTTTAATGTTTTGGCACAAAATTTTGAATCAAAAATCATATATTGACCAACAAAGGAGCCTTTTTTGTTTAAAATTAAAATATGTTATAAGAGGTTAAAATGAAATAGAAAAAATTAGCATTAATGCAACAATTGTAAAAATTTGTCGACAAACATTGCTGTTAGTGATTGTAAAAAAATGTGTGATTGGTTGGTTTGCTCAGAAAAAATAATTCACAGATTTCTTTGAATAGGAGTAGAAAAGCTTTCAGAAAAAGAGTGCGATATAAAATCTATTATCATAAAATTATAACCAACTAATTTTTGGAGAATTTTATAAAGTTAAAAATACAAAAACATTTTGTCAAAATAGAGAAAAAAAATAACCACCAAAGCATCGGAACAAACTTGAGCCATAAATGGATTTAGCCCAAGGACAGAATTTAAAAACAGAAGCTAATATCCTAATCCCTTTTTCCACCAGAATCTTACCTAAATTTTCCTAAATTCCCATAGCGGTCAAAAGTTTCCACATTTGTTTAGCAACCGTGGAAGAATTTTATATGGCATTCTAGTTTAACAGAACTATAATGGAGCAAATTTTGATGCAAGCAAAGTATCGCTAAGTTGATGATATTTCAACTGTTTGGCGATACATTTCCGTTAAAAAAAAGTGGGTATAATGGATGAAATAATTTAAATTAAGAAAATTAGCAAATAATTTAAATTAGTGAAATTTGAAAAATCATCAAAGAAAAATTTCCAGCTTTTCTTTAAAAATCCCTGATTTTTCCAGGTTTTTATCCAAATTTCCCTGATATTTCCAGGTTTTTTCTAGTATAAAAAAATTCCCTGATAATTCCAGGTGAGTGGCCACCCTGTTCATATATATATTAACAAAATACAAAATAATTTTCCAAGACTTTACATGATTATGATAAAATAATTAGTTTCTGACAAAAGAGTTATTTTCTTGATTATTTTAGCCACCATGTAAACAATTTAAACACAATTTTAAATACATTCAATATTGAGAGGCTCATTCTATTTTTTAAATTAATAATTATATTTGCTTATTTATGTAATACAATTTAATTCAAAACTAATTCACAACTAACTACATAATTAATTTAACTGCCATGAAGATTTTAAAAAATTTCTAAGAAACGTCATTTACAAATATTCAAATACAAATTTATATAATTATGTAATAAAGAGTTATCACTTGTAACAAAATGGATAAAATTAATTAACTGTTTTAATACCTTTTCTGCATTAATTTTTTTAAGGATTACATATCAAACAAGAAGAACTATATCAATTAGTAATATATATAAAAAAAAACACTTAATTCATAACATTAAAAAAATTTGCATAAGATATTTTCATATATATTGGGAAGGAAGAAAATTACATGTGGTAAAGCATCTACGGTTAGTGGCACGTGTGAGAGAAATGCGGATGGCACAAAAAATTTGATTGCCATACATTTGCAAAAACATGTGCACATTGAGGGAGTGAGTTAATAAGCAGTATATAAATGCAAACCTATGGCAATCAAATTTTTTATGCCTCCCATATTCCTCTTGTTCACTCCCTTAGTATGCAACTTGCCTATTGCCTGCCATTTTTAAAATTTAATACTTATTTTTTAACATTTCCTTCAAAAAGATTGAAAGAGTTACACATTTATTAAAAAAAAAACTGACGTTCAGAAAGAGTTTGATAAACGTTTGGGACTATCTAAAGTAAAGTTAGCAAAAGAATAGATTAGTTGTTTTGTTCTCAATTTTAATTACTAACAACTACTTTTTTTAATTTTAAGTTATACACCTTTTCATTTATACGTCAATTTACTTCAGTCCCCTGACAGATGGTGCTTTGCTGAATTTTTTGTTTACTATTCCAAAATACTTGAAAAGTGTAATCATTGCTTTGTTAGTCTTCGTTAATCATTGCTTTGTAACTTTAAATGAACTAAGATGATTTAAGAAAAAAAAAGAAGAAAAAAAAACAACTGAGAAAGACTAAAAGTATAATTTTAATTATAGGCTCCCTATATGCTTAGGTAAACTTAACTTTAAAATTTAACATGCATTAATGCCAAAAGTTTAATTTCATTTTCGAAGTAATTAGAAATTTAGATATTTTATCTGAACATAAGCAATCCCAATATTTTCTACAGTAATTTTAGTCCGATATATTACATTTTACTGAATACGTACCTAAAGGATAAATATAAACAGGAACTGGAAGCATTATTCTCTTAGACATAAAGTTGTGAGATCCTTGCTTTTCTCCATCTCTTAGAAATAGTGGCAACCAAACCTTTGAAAAAATAGAAAGATATAAAAATTAAGGAAGTTTTAATGCTATACAAATGAAAAGATAAGCTCAAAACAATATTTGATGAATAAAAAAATTCATATTTTATGAATTTATATTACAGTCCTTTAATGCACTCTCTTTAAATATTAAATGTGTAAAACAAATGTTTAACACACCGCAAAACTTATTTAGCACACACAACTTAAAAAACCATCTATGACGAAAAGAATTAAAAAATTCAAAACATATTTATGTTTCAGTATGTAAATCTTCGTACATTTAATGTCAAGCATTGCTATATAAATATCAAAGTATATTTCTTAAAATATTAGTAATATTAAAAAAATTCTACAATCGCAAATAATAAATTCTTAAGTAATTATGAAACCAAATTTTGGCATTTTAATTTTGCATTTTAATATCATGTTATGTCCTGTTAATAATACCCCTTTAAATAGTTTTTTAAATTACTATATTCCTGCATCTGTCATTCAGAAATTCTACCATCATTTAATAAAAATGTTGAAGTTATTTATACTTTAGAAAGAAAAAACTATCTCATGACGATAATGATCATACTGGTTGAAACTTTGTTAGCTGAAAAACATCTTGCTATCTACAGGGCTGAAAGTTCATATATATCAAGATGGAAAAGAGTAAAAACTGGTAACCAATAAATTTTATTTTTAGCTTTTTTTCGGAAATAAAATATCCATTACCATTACTCTAGATAAGGAAGTATATTCTTATCAGCCTATTTTTACGTAAAATAATATTACTTAAGTCTACTTATATAAAAAAAATAAAGATCTATAAGAACTTTGAAATCCGTATTAAGTTGTGAGAATTTAATGGAAACTTTTCCTTTTGATAGTAAAGAATTATGTATTATTATGGGAAGCTAAAAGCAATAAAATGTATGAATGCGATAAGGAATATTATAAATGTGAGATTTCTAAAATGTATTTTCTCTAGTTTAATTTTATTAGTACTTTTCCTTATGCACAAAAGGTTTCATATATTTAAAGATGTTTCTGGTGATAAACTAAAAGAACAATGATTTAGCAATTTAAGAAAGGATGTTTACTTTTAAAAAAGATCGATACTTCATTATTAAAAATGTTTTTATATTGTTATTTTTAACTGCATGCATACTGCATACTCTATAAAAAAATGGAATATAATAATAGTGCATAAGATTTTTCAAAACATTATCTTATAAGTTAGAAATGGTAAGTTAAAAGTTTTTCTGGAAGGGAAAGAATATATTATTTGTTTTTTATTCCAGATCCTTCCCTCTTAATAAAATTACAAAAGAATGGTTTCATAAAATCCTAAATCTGCAATCAAACACAAAAAAAAAGAAACTTATTAAAAATAATTACATTATTAAAGTCCACTTACCATAGATATTAGAAGGGAAACATTTTTCATCACATCAGCAGACCTATAAAAATAAAAAGCATGCTTTGTTTGTTATTNCTGGTAACCAATAAATTTTATTTTTAGCTTTTTTTTCGGAAATAATAAAATATCCATTATTAAAATTACTCTAGATAAGGAAGCATATTCTTATCTGCCTATTTTTACGTAAAATAATATTAAGTCTACTTATAAAAAAATAATAAAGATCTATAAGAACTTTGAAATCCGTATTAAGTTGTGAGAATTTAATGGAAACTTTTCCTTTTGATAGTAAAGAATTATATATTATTATGGGAAGTTAAAAGCAATAAAATGTATAAATGTGATAAGGAATATTATAAATGTGAGATTTCTAAAATGTATTTTCTCTAGTTTAATTTTATTAGTACTTTCCTTTATGCACAAAAGGTTTCATATATTTAAAGATGTTTCTGGTGATAAATTAAAATAACAATGATTTAGCAATTTAAAAAAGGATGTTTACTTTTAAGAAAGATCGATACTTCATTATTAAAAATGTTTTTATATTGTTATTTTTAACTGCATGCATACTGCATACTCTATAAAAAAATGGAATATAATAATAGTGCATAAGACTTTTCAAAACATTATCTTATAAGTTAGAAATGGTAAGTTAAAAGTTTTTCTAGAAGGGAAAGAATATATTATTTGTTTTTTATTCCAGATCCTTCCCTCTTAATAAAATTACAAAGGAATGGTTTCATAAAATCCTAAATCAAACAAAAAAAGAAACTTATTAAAAATAATTACATTATTAAAGTCCACTTACCATAGATATTAAAAGGGAAACATTTTTCATCACATCAGCAGACCTATAAAAATAAAAAGCACGCTTTGTTTGTTATTTATACAATTCCAAATATGAATTTTTAGTCTGATTAATAAAACAGAGTAACATATTAAATGCCTTCTTTTAATCCTGTGTTTAAAGCTCCATATTAAAACAGATTTTGCATTAAATTACAATGTATTTATAGTTATGTATATATAGTAAACGCTGTATATATAGTAAACGCTGTATAAGCAAAAAAAACATCACTTTGTTAATGAAAAAATAAGCACTTTTAAGCACCAAAAAGCAAATTATGGCAGAGGGAAACTCTCATGATTTCTATTATTATATGACTGTAAATATTTTTTCAAAACTCAGATACTATTTTCAGTCAAAAATAATAATATAATCAGAATTGATAAATGAATTAAATATTAATTTTTAAAAAAGTGACTAAAGAAACTGAATCAAAATGTGAAATAAAAAGAAGTTATTTTCTAATTTTTTAGCAATTCGAAAATAAAATATTTTCAAAAAAATATAGATAAAAGCAAGGGAGAAAAAATATACTACAGTGATTTAATTATTCTCAAGTAACCAAGTAGTATTAATTACCTCACAAGTAGATAATGGTGCCGGTCAGCTTATTTTCATTTAAAAACTTATCATGCCATATTTTAATAAAAAATACATTTAAAAAAATAGTTAAAAATGGGAATACCCCATTTCAAAGCAAAATATTTAATATAAGTTAGGGATTCTGGAATAATACTTTTGATTAATATTTTCTGAAATATTAATTTTGAATAAATCAATAGTGGATCTTCTCATGGAAAGCTTATAGAAAAAATAAAATCACAGTATACACTGCACCACAATCAAGCAAAACATTGTGATAATTTAACTTTTAAATATAGATAGGTCACAGCATCTCTACAGAAAGAAAATTACTATACTATTTTTCAGAAAATGCAATTTTCAGGATTAGACATAAATTTATTACAGCAACTTATACAGGCTAATCAGTAATAATACAAAAAAAAAACTTTTACTTTAGTTTTATCATTTTATTTATTTAACCAAAGATAAAATAAAAAATGTGTCATTTTTTACATTATATCATCAAGAAAAAGAACCATTTGTTAATCAATTTTAAGAGAATAGAAAACATTTTAAATCCTAGGAGAAAAATACAGTTTAATAAAAATTAAAAACTTGAGTTGTACTTTGAGACTAGTTTGAGATAACTATAAGGACCAATGTATAAGGTAATTTTACACACACTAAAATACTGATATATACCAAGAGATTACTGTTCCAACAGTAAAATTTAAAATCTCCTTCATCTCCAATTTTAACTACATTAATTAATACCATAAACTACAGTAAGTATTAGGCAATTATTTATTATTATGCTCGAAATATCAATTACCCATAATCTCAACCAAGACTACACATCAGTAAGGCACCAAACACACTCCAAATAGCAAATCCATCTTTTTCCCATGTCATAGCAAGAGCTCCTCCATCAGGAGTCCATTTCAAATTTGATACGGCTCCAGCAGCTGTTTCAATATCTATTTATATACATTAGAAACCTTTCATTAAAGCAAACAAACAGAGCCAATAAAGGTGCGAAAAACTTAAATTACAGATAATAAGAATGATTAGTTTACCAGGAAAGTCTTTACTGGATAATACTAATTGATGTGTGGATTGTAGAGCACCTGTTAAATCATCAATGCAGAAAATTATCCCTTGAGCCCTGAAATTGTATTAAAAAAACATATAATTAACAAAAGCATAGTTTAAAAAAATTTTAAATAACAAAAAATTAAGAAGTATGAATAATCACATTAATATAAGAATTGTAATATAATGGTTGAGTATTTTCAAAATCTCAACAAGTCCATAAAATAGAATTTTCAGGATAATATGCTTCTAAGGGAAACAAAGATCAAAACAAACACTATTTAATAAAAAAATTAACTGCAATCTTCAGGTAAAAATAGTTTAATGACATTTAATTAAATTAAGGGATTCGAGATAAAGTATTTGATGATTAGGTGGTGATGATTAGTTAGATTTTCTATGAACTGGGAAATGAAAGGAACGACAATTCAAGCATACATTAAAGATCAAATTTATTTATTTTTCTGTCAATTAATTTATTCCCTTTTAAACAAAAAACAAATATTTGTACAAGGAAAAAAACTGTCACAGATTTGCATAATAATACCATTTCTATTCATTTGTTTAGAACTAGAAATAGCCTTTAAGCTAATTTTCTAACAAGATATTTAAGTAAAATTTTTATAAGATTGTAATTCCTTTTATTCAAACAAAACAATTTAAGTCATAACAGAGAATATATTTTGTTTTTTCATGATCTTTTAATAAATAATTGATCTCGCAAAACCATCATATCAGTATAAAATGGAACTAGTTTATACAAAAACCTGCTTTCTTTGCAACCACTACATGTCTACGACTGAAGAGTACCTCAGTATATGCTCTAATATTCTCAAAAATTTTCTATTTTATAGCACTGACAATTCCTTTGGATAATGTTTTAATTTTTCTTTGCTATATTGTCTTGCTTGTCATACAATAATTGACAGATTACAGGTAAAAGGTTAAAAAAAAAATTGATATATTAAAAAAAAACTAGCAATTATATAATTTTACTCTTGCAAAAGATGAAAAGAAACAGCCATACAAAGGCTCACATATTTCATTCTCACAAAAAAAAAATATGAGAAAAGTTACAACAGTTATTTCAAATTTCAAAAGAAAAATCATTAATAACTGAACTTAGTAATAAATAAACTTAGCAATTAAAATACAAAACGCTATCGATAGTGCAGATAATAAAAAAAATAATAAAATTAGGCATACTTTGTTTGCCCATAAGTAATGAGTCGAAACCTATGATTCACAGCTGTACAAGTAGCATTCTGAGCATCATTAGGAAAGATTCCAAAAACTTGCTGCAAGAAATACAAAATAGTTACTAAGAAAAAAAAAACTTAAGACTCTTATCATAAATAATAATTGCTGGAAAAAATCTACTTAAAACCATATCATATTTTAAAAATAATTAGATAAAAAAAGTTTGATATTGATAACAAATTTAAAAACTCAAAACAATAAAATTTTGCTTGAATTTATAAAAATGTGTGATTGAATGAATATCATAAATAAAAGCATATTCTTTGACTACTTCAGAATTTCCGTATTTTATGTCTTTTGTTTTTTATTCGAAAAAGTTTCATAAATATTCTATTTTAAATACTTCTGTTTTAATTCACTGCCACTGAAAAAATTATTCTACCCTAGTCAAAAATGTTGGGGGTTTAATAAAGGCATTCAGTTGATAAAACCTCTTTAAGCTATATTGTTTTCATCATCAGTTATTTGAATATATGTACATCAGAAAAAACTACATTAAAGTTTTACATAAATTAAATAAAACTACAAGTTTTGCTTATTTACTCTAGGCTCCTAAAACAGAAATGCACAAAACTATGATATATGTCACAGCACAAATTATGCTTTACATAAATTGTAATATAAATTACAATTTAAGTATACAATTTATTCACATTTCTTTGCAACATTTCTTCTTTCTTGTAAACAATTTCTGTTTCATTACGCAAGCATGCATACATAATTTTATATATAACTAATTAAGGCTTCTTTTTGAGAATTCAGTGTGCAAGAATGAAAATGATTGGTCATAAAAAATAATGGTAATGGTTTAATTAATGAGAGTCGTTTATATTTGGCAATACTCACAAAACATTTGCAACTGTCAAAAGTTTTGTTGTAATGTATTAGATATAATTCTGCTCCAGAAAAGAGCTATGAACTTTCAAAACTTAAAATTAACATATAAATATAAGGTGAAGAAAATATTTTTTCTTACTCAATACTATCAAAACATTCTATACAATAAATTTTTATGTGTACATAAACTTTTAATAATTCACACAACAAAAAGGAATCATTACATACATGAGGATCAAACTTCAATGTAGTAGCAGTAATAAAACAGGCTTGACCATTTGATAGTAGTACAACTGAAAACCCTCCAATGTTGGTAGAATAATCCATATTTTTCATATGGATTTGTGCATCATGAAATTTGGATCCTTAAATGGAGGATGGAAAAATTAAAGTAAGATTTATGGTATATATTCATAACACAACATTAAAAAAATTAATAAAATGCAAAGAATTTAATAACTAATTTAAAAAAAACGATAACATCTCAATTTTCAATGCAAAACTTTGAACAATGTTTACACAAAAAAATTAAACATTAACATGATTTATATTGTTTTAATTAAACACATACATGAATTTTAAAACTGTGGTAAGCCAGTAGTTATAGCTCGTAAAATGACATCGTCAAATGGTAAGGATCTTAAAGGTGCTACACATTATACAAAAGGTGGAGAAACGAAGGCCTCCATGAGTTTCTTGTGTGACTCTTCTATTAATTGATGTTTAATTATATAGATTATAACAATTTGAAAATTAATAGAAATAAATAATGTGCTGTTGAGCATGACATGAATTAGTTGTGGTGTAGTTCTAGCAATTTTTCAGTCTGAAGTTAGTGTGGCACACTTTCCAATTTGCCAACAATAGAAAATCTTTTGTTCTTATTTTTGGCCACGGCTCTAAAATACACTAACACTGCGATGCTCTGAGTGACAGGCAGTAACTATTTTCCTAACTAATAGCAACTCTCAGCCTGTATGTGGTGGAGTTGGTGGTTTGTATTTATCTGTATATGCTTGTAGCAATATATACACAAACATACGTAGCTATTTATTAAAAGATTATTTTTTACTGTAAATTATATTTCAAGAAATGACTTAATGTTTTTTGCATAATTTCTATGTAAAGTGATAAACTATAATAATTTCAAAAAAAGTCGCATTCAATTTCAAAATATGTGCTTATCAACTCATGCAGCCTCTTTTACCTATGCCTAATTTAAATGTGGTCTCTCACAGTAAAAATGTTCCCTTTCTTTGCACTATGCTATTGCAAATAAATAAAATAAAACCTTGATTGAACAACTTTTTTAAATGACTGACAACTGAAGTTGGATAAAAGTGGAAGAAGAAGTATGACATTCATCACAGAAAAAAAAAGAATTTAAAAATTAATTATTAACATTTTGTTCCAAGTCAAAGCAATGTTTGCACAGCACAGCATGAAAATCATGAATGAAAAGCCAAAATTTTCATATGCTATATAATATTTGCTAATCAAATAAATAAAAAATTATAAACATTCATTTTTTTAAATAAAAAAAAGTTACAAAATTTTAAAACAGTAATTAAAATTGTGGTACCATTTATCTTTGTATTCGCACCTGTGTCACATTATTGGGAAGTAAACTCTATCCCTGGAGCAACAACGACTCTCTTTTCTTCATTTACACTAAAATACTTGATTTTTGTTGAAAACACCAACTGTTAACTCTTTGGATAAAGTCTTTAACTTTGATTAAGTGTTTTTTTATTGCTTCTCTGCTATGATTTCATCATTTTTAATAAAGGTTAAGAGAAATATTAAGTTTCATTTAACTTAGTATCCACACTATTTGTTTTTCAAATTAATCTGCTCATTAATCACTTTCTGCTTCTACAAAAAGTTTGTTATTTTAAATTTCCTATGTTAGAACATTAAGCTTTATTCAAATTAAATATCTACCCTTTTGTTCATTTAAACTAAATTTCCCATTTCTTCGAATCAGACAGAAAAATAATTGTTTCTTGCAGAAAACATCGTCTATTAGCACTTTGAATAATACCTTCAATTATGATTACCTGCCTGATAAATTTTAAAAAAATAATTAACTAAAAAGGTCTATCTCCACCACTTTTTTCAAAATACATATGGTTTTTCGCTCATTTTTAGGCATTTCTACATAGTTTTTCAGATTTTAATATTTTTAATACAGTATTACTAAAACACACAAATTTTGAATATGAGTCGTTTAGTTTTAAACAATTCCACCGTTTCCGATTTTGCAACACTTACGATCGTTTTTTCAACCATTTCCACATATTTTCTTTTTTCATCAAATTCCAATATTTTTAATTGACTTTATTATGACAAAAAAGTTTTTTAATTTGAATTAGCACTTTTGACGCACTTCATTAGAGACAATTTCCTCCTATATCTGTCTTATTTTCTTATTGAATTCCATTATGTTTACCATGTTACGAAAATATGCAAATTTGAGTCATTAATTTTTTACATGCTTGATTCTTAACAGTTCCATAGTAAATTCCTGTCGTTTCTAATATTTTTTTATTTTTAAATTTCCAATGTCTTCAATACAATTTTATTAAAAAAAAGGATTTCGAATTTGATTCAACACAGTTTAAATGCACTTCTTACACAACGATTTCGTCGTAAATACGAATAATTTTTTATCGTTTTCGACAATTTAAACATAATTTTTTAAATTTTGAGGTCACTACAACACGAAAATTTTTTTAATTTGAGTTATTTCTTTTTTATATGCTTGATTCACCTCGACTACATCATAAAAATCTAAGTTGCTTGTTGATAATTTTTTCAGTAGGTTATATAATGTTCGTTTAGCCATTACCATGTGTTTGTTATAACACATGGTAATGGCTTAAAAAAAAATCTTAAAATTTTAATAGTTATCCCTTTTTGACAAGCACAGTTTTCTACAACTCTATTGTACATTCACACCATATTCTGTAGTT